CTCCCACTCTCTCCCTATTTATTTCAAAACCCCCTTCCCCTCCCCCTTTTCTGATGAAGGGTCTAGGCCCGAAACGTCAGCCTCTCTGCTCCTATGATGCTGCTTGGCCTGCTGTGTTCATCCAGCCCTGCACCTTGTTGTCTCGGATTCTCCAGCATCTCAGTTCCTACTATCTCAGAAATAACTTTGTTATCTGTTCTTGTTAAACAAGGATAAAGGGAATCAACAGGGTATTTTAGAGGGTAATGCTTCATTCTTATTCAGTTGCATTCTCCACAATTTACCTGTGGCACTCCAAATATCCCTTCAAAGATCCATCCAAACCCTTTATATCAGTTACAACAAAAGAACAAAAGAGAAGTACAGCACAGGAACAGGCCCTTCGGCCCTCCCGGCCTGTGCCGATTATCACGTCCTGACTAAAGTAAAAAACAAACCTTCTGCCCTTATTCGGTCCATATCCCTCCACTCCCTCCCTATTCATGTAACCATCCAGATGCCTGTTACTGTTGAACATGCTGCTGCTGCACTTTCAGGCAGTGGGTTGCAGACAAAAACACACTCTATTTTTTAGAGGACAACTCCCTCAGTAAAGGCAAATATGGGCCTGTCTCTTGTGCTCGAATCTGCATTCGGCCTTGAACCCAAGAGACAAGAGTGTCCAAGTTTCCAGTGAAATTCCTGGTGAGGTCTTGATGGAATGGAGCCCACAGACAATGCTTACTTTGACTGTTAGTCACAGTTAATATTGTGAGGCACAAATCCACTTTCAATGTGTGGTTCACTCCGATAATACCTAGGCGGATCTATGCCTTGCAAGTGACTGAGGCGCAGTGGGATTCCATGCAGGGTTAGAGGCCATGGGTTCAAACTGTTTAATTTGTCAGCATGAGTATCTGTCCATTAGCAGTGAATGAAACATTTCAAAGGCTGCAGTTGAAATGTTCCTTATTGCCTTCATTTCCCAAAGCACCTCTCCTGCCTGCCAAGTCTAATCGGCTTTGCAAGACCATAAGATGTAGGAGTAGAAGCAGATGATTCAGCCCATCGAGTCTACTCTGCTATTCAATGAAATCATTTCATTGAAGATGGATTGATTTTATTGTCACATGTACCGAAATACAGTGAAAAGCTTTGTTTACGAGTGGTACAGGCAGATCATAGTAAGCAAATGATGTACAGATCAACAAAACTTAGAGACATGCAGGTTACATCTTACAGGGCGTGCGCTAGGCAAGGTCAACGTTAGCAACAGCAGTTATTTGATGATAGAGCATCCATTCATAAAGCTGATAATGGCCGGGAAGAAGCTGTTCCTGAACCTGCTTGGGCATGTGTTCAGGCTTCTCTATCTTCTGCCTGATGGAAGAGGTTGTAGGAGATCATTACCGGGGTGCGATGGGTCTTTGATGATGTTGGACGCCTTTCCGCAGCAGGAAGCCATATAAATGGAGTCCGTGGGTGGAAGACTGACTTCTGTGATGGTCTGGGCTGTGCACACCACCTTCTGTAGTTTCTTAAGGTCCTGGGCAAAGCAGTTGCCATATGCACCTGGACAATATGCTTTCAAGCTGATTTGATAATCCTCACCTCCTGCCTTTTCCCCATAACCTAGGATTCCCTTACTGATTCAAAAAAATCTGTCACAGCCTCCAATGTACTTAGCGACCCTGCCTCGACAGTCCCGTTTTGTAGACTGGTATTGACCTGATTCTGAACACTTCCCCTTCCCCCTCCCCATCCTCACTCTTACCCCTCTCACCCTCACCCCTCTCCCAGAGTGGGCTGGTTGGGAGTGGGATGCTCTTTGGAGGGTCGGTGCAGACTTGATGGGGAAATCTGCTGAGGTCTCTCCTGTATCCTGTATGCTTGTCTCAGGTAGATGTAAAAATGATCCCTTTTGTCATTACTTAACGAGGGTGGATGATTCCTCTGGTGCATCTGATGCATCTGGACCAACCAAAACATGGCAGTGAAGCAAAACATCATATTTTCTGGTTGTGGGAACGGGGCGGGGGGCGGGCGGGTGTACAAATTGAAAATATTCAGGAGCACCTTTACAGGCTGCAAGTTGCTTTGGGGAGTCTCGAAGTGCTGAAAGGCGCTGTAGAAATGCAATTCGTCGTCGTTGTTGTTGTCACGGAGACGAGCTGACCTCCAGTTGCCCCTTGTTTCCTCCGCAGGCCGCTGGAGTAACACGTACAAGCTGCCGTCGAGCTGGATGGGGACCGGGCACGCGGTCTATAACGGCTCCTTCTACTACAACAAGGCGTACACGCGGAACCTGATCCGCTATGACCTGCGGCTGAGGGCGGTAGCGAGCTGGACGGCCCTGGACGAGCTGGGCAGCGGCTCCGCCGGCACCTTTGGCTGGAAGGGCTACTCCGAGGTGGACTTCACGGTGGACGAGGGTGGCCTCTGGGTGGCCTACTTCTCCAGCGACTTTGACTACCTCCCCGAGGAGGTGCTGGTGCTCAGCCGCCTGGACCCCGTCGACCTGACCACCAGGAAGGAAACCACTTGGAAGACTCAGCTGCGGCGCGCCTCTTACCGCAACTACTTCCTGATCTGCGGCGTCCTGTACGCGGTGGGGCTGCAGGGCCAGAGGGAGGGTACTGTTAGCTACGCCTTCGACACCCACACCGGCTCCGAGTCAGACCCAGGGCTGAGAATTCACAGCAAATACTCTTACCTCACCCAGATAGACTATAACCCCAACGACAAGCTTCTCTACGCTTGGGATAATGGATTCCAAGTCACTTACGATGTGATGTTTATCTACTGACACCAGCCCCCATCCCATTCCCAGTCCCACCCCGTGGGGGGGGGAGGTGGGTGACACCCTATTCCAGAATCACAGAGAGTTTTATGTTTTCCCCTTTTGCACCAGCCAGCTCAAAGCCAGAATGAGGAGACATTCTGAATTTCCTGTTTATTCTTTTCTTGTTTTTTTTTAAAATCTCTTTCTTTTTAACCAAACTGAAATAACTGCACAGAAGCCAGTATAGCATCACCAAGTCACCTTTTATTTACACGTGCACCGTACATGGGCTCTGACCAGCCAACTCAGAGCTGGGCCCCAGACTGAGGAGACCTTCTGAATCTCCTGTATATTTTTTTTGTTGGTATTCGGTCACGCTACCACTATACTGCAGTAGTGCTTTGTAGTCACCACGACAGACCACAACACCGGTGTTTAGTGTGTACCTGTGCAGTGACTCAGTAAAGACACCGTTGTGCAAATAATTTTTATTCAATATTTCCACCACCAGGAAAAGCATGCGGCCATTGAACCAGTCATATACAACAAGCGAATCTTACATCTCAGGAACCGGTCACTCTCGCCTCTCCCGTTATTTTTTGCCCCTCCACTCGAACGCCCTCTCCATCTCATCTCAACCAACACGTAGATACTTTCAGCCCAACTGTTCAGGGATGTTAAGACAGACTCACGACGTTTGAATCAGAGATAGTAGGAACTGCAGATGCTGGAGAATCCGAGACAACAAGGTGCAGGGCTGGATGAGCACAGCAGGCCAAGCAATCTGCTCCTATGATGCTGCTTGGCCTGCTGTGTTCATCCAGCCCTGCACTTTGTTGTCTCACGACGTTTGAGAAGTATTTCGACGTGCGCTTACTAAGCCAGGGCTGGGAAATAGGACTAGAAGAGCCAGGTGCATGTTTTTGACTGGTGCGCATTCAACAGGCCGAAGGGCCTTTTAGCTCCTATGCTCTAGACTTCAGGACCAGGTGCTCCTTCTACCTGGGTCTCCTGGCTCAGAGGTAGGGACATGACCACAGTGCCACAAGAGCCACCCCCTGACCCAACACATTCCCTCCACCCCTCATGTGCTACTCTGGATTTGTTGTGATTGTGTCCAACTTGTCCACTTGAAGTCATAGAGTCATACAGCACGGAAACAGACCCTTCAGTCCGAACAGTCCATGCCAACCATGTTGCCAAACTTAACTCGTTCCACCAGCCTCTACTTGGCTCAAATGTATCAAAACTTTTCCTACTTCTGTACTTATCCAAATGTCTTTTAAGTGTTGTAACCGTACCTGCATCCACCACTTTCTCTGGAAGTTCTTTCCACACAACAACCACTATGTGTGAACAAGTTGTTCCTCGTGTCCTTTTTAAATCTTTCTCCTCTCACTTTAAACTTATGCCCTCTAGTTTTGAAATCACCCACGCTAGCGAAAAGACCTTATCCTTAAGACCTCTCCAATTTAAGCATAAAGGCACCTTATCTATATCCCTCATGATTTTATAAACCTCAATCAGGTCATCCCTCGACCTCCTGCGGTGCAGGGAATAAAGACCCAGTCTTTCTATTTTTACAAGTCAAACCCGCCATTCCCGACAACATTCTAGTAAATCTTTTCTGAACCCTCTCCAGTTTAATAATATCCTCCCTATAACAGAGCCTAGCAGTGCCCTCTTGCAGGTGAGATGTCAAACTAAGGTCACTGGTTACCGTCTCCAGTGGGACGCCATCCCAAAGGAGAGCAGGGGAAAGATCCTCAGTGTCCTCGCCAATACTTACTCCTCAGTCAATATCACTGCAAGCAGACAACTTGTTCATTCTCTGACAGGAATGTAGGAACAGGAGGAGGCCATTCAGCCTTTGAGGCTGTTCTCATTAGGAGAGAGCTCAGAAAGTGAAGTATTCAACTGTGGTAAGTCTCACGTGGCTTGGCATTGTGGATTGACCTCCCTTTAAGAGCTGTGCATGCAACTTCTGTTTTGACCACCAGTGGAAAGGCAATTTGGAATTTTAGCACCCATTCCAGCCGTCCTCCCCCGCCCTTCCGTCGTACCAACAGAAAGAAGACTGGGAGTGGCAGTTTTGTCCTTCCTTAACGTGAGAGCAGTGTCTGTGAACTTGACAGACCTCCATCCCGAGGTGGCTGGAATCAGCTTAGCAAGAAATATAGATTGAAAGTCCGAGCCGTCAAGCCTGCTTGTCTCAATACTGTACTAATGCAGCATAGTTGTAGCTTCATTGATATTCACAGCTCGCCTCTGCGGGTCGAGTAAGTTCAGGGACAGCACGATCACACTGCAGACGGGTCTGGCCCAGCGTGTGGCCCTCTCACCTCAGGATCAGGTCATTGAGTTCAAGACCCGCGTCAGAGACTCGAGCGCACGTCCAGGCTGACACTGCCATTGTAGTTCGGAGAGTATGCAGCACTGTCGGAAGTGCCGGGTGAAATTTGGAACTGGGTCACTTTTCCGTCTTTCGAAGGAGTTCAGGCAGGTTCTCTCCGCTGCCCATGTCAATATTTATCGCTCCACTCCGGGAGCTTGCTGTGCTTCCGTTACAGCTGCGACCACACTTCAGAAGTGCGTCCTACATTACTGTTGAACTATGGCCCCGGCTGTGGTCTAATGATCTGTGACATCGAGGTTGCGAAAGGCGGTATGTAAATGCAATTTTTGTCTTTTCCACAGAATGCTAGTTCATTCTCTTATTTGGATTTTTTTTTTAAAAAATACATTTTGCACTGAAGTCAAGCATAATTTATTTCCATGATTTCAATGGATATTCTCTCATCTTGGGATCTCTAGAGCCTCCCCACTTCAGATACACCACAGTGACCTTCCTTCTAGCCAACACCAATTATCTGTTGCAGTCGTGTGTTTGTGGCCAGTGAAACACATCAATTCAGAACTAATTTGTGGAAAGTATGAACGTATTCCCTACACTGAAGTTTAAAGAACTTCAGTAACTTCCTTTGAGTTGCTTTTTGGCAGTTTGCTCCAGGCAGCAGCGATTTTTGGACAGAAAAGTATTTCCGGCAATCCAGTCTTTCTCTATCCTAGCCTTCAATTCGTGTACCCACCAGCAGAATATCTCGAATCACTGAAACAAACGGATTAAATCCAAGTTCTTAGTCTTGTAGTACAAATCACGATGGCAACAACAATCAAGAAGATAGACAGCATCACGTGTGAAGCAACCCACTCGATTGTCACCCTATCCACCACCTCCAACGTTCACCCCTTCCACCCCGGACGCACGGTAGTAGCACCCTGTGTTATCTCCAAGGTGCACTACAGCAACTCAAAGAGGCTCCTTTCACAGCGTTTTCCAAATCTCCGACCTCTAGCACAGGGGCAGCAGATTCATGGAACGCCGCTACCTGCATAGTCCCCTCCAAGCCATTCACCATCCTCAGCTGCAGCTTTATCGCTGGTCCTTTAATGTGGCTGGATGAAAATCTTAGCACTGCCTCCATGGCTACAGCAGTGTAATGTACCAGCACAATATGTTGACTCTCCACCACCTTCTCCAGGGCAATATGGTTTTGGCCAAATGAAAAATTCTGTCTTGTCAGCTCACATGTTGAAACTTTGTTTTTTAAAAAAATTCTCTGCAATAAAGCGCCTAACTTGTAAAAACTCCCCAGAGCTCAGAAATATTACACTTCTCCCCGTAAATTTGCGACCCCCCCTCCCCACACGCCCCGCAGCACATTCGGAAGGATCTAGCGAGCATGCCGAGAAAGTCGATGGGGGTGAGGATATGAGTGCCTACAGAGACTGGCGTGGTATTCCTTAGAGGAGTAAAACGTTATGGGGCGATTTCACCACAGTTTAATAGAAGGGGGAATGGGGAAAACAGATTTCCGCTGGCACAAGGTTAGATAACCAGAGGATAGCGATTTAAGCGGATTGGCAAAAAGTGGGTTACGTGGGGGTGGGGTTCTTTTTAAAAAAAACACAAGGAATGCACCTGGCGGGAATTAAGGTTGGAGGGAACAGAGTATTTTTTGAATTAAAGCCATACAGTCATAGGGTTGTACATCAAGGAAACAGGCCCTTCAACCCAACTCGTCAAAGCCGACCAACTATCCTAAATTAATCTCGTCCCATTTGCCCCATATCTCTCTCAACCCTTGCTATTCAAATACCCATCCAGATGCCTTTTAAATGTTGTAATTGTATAACCATCCACCACTTCCTCTGGCAGTTCATACCATACCTGCACAACCTTCTGCATGACAAATTTACCCCTTCGGCTCCTTTTAAATCTTTCCTCTCTCATCTATGCCGTCCAGTTTTGGACTCCCCTACCCTGGGTAAAAGGCCTTAGCTAGTCACCCTATCCTCGTCACGATTTATTAAACCTCTGTAAGGTCACCCCTCAGCACCTGACGTTCCAGGGAAAATAGTCCCAGCCTATTCAGCCTTTCCCTATAGCGCAAACCCTCCAACCCCGGCAACATCCTTGTAAATCTTTTCTGCACCCTTTCACGGTCGGCAACATCTTTCCTATAGCAGGGAGACTAGAATCGAGCAGCCTTTCAAAAAGAGAGAGGTCGATATTGTTTTGGGGAGGGGCGGGTCAATTAGGTAAGGTCTTTCCAAGATTTAACAGAAAGGTGATGGGCCGATCAGCACCCGGTTGTACTGTCTCAGTTTGGTTTTCCACCACACCCCAAGTGGACGTAACTGATCCTGTTGCAACCCGAGAATATTGTTCGTCAGAGATAGTAGGAACTGCAGATGCTGGAGAATCCGAGACAACAAGGTGCAGGGCTGGATGAACATTGTTCGTCATCTCGATTTAGATATCACTCGGAATGCAGCCAAAGCCCTAAATCCTGATCGTTTCCCAGCCAACCCCTTTCATAGGGTACAGCTGCCTAGTGTGAGGAGGACTGGAATCTCTCAACACCAAATACACGACAGCTGTTCCCCACAACAAAACGATGTTTGCTGGGATTGGGCTGGTGAAAGCCAAAGAAGAACAGAAATATCTTCTTGGCAGAACATCAGACACCACGAGCGCTACAAAGTCATCCTGACCACACACTGCTCACTTCTCTATCCTGATAACCAAACCGAGGACATACGTTCACCCTCCCCAGCATTGAGCTGAGGTTACACTGTCTTAATATATCACGGGAACATCATAGAAACCACAGCAGTGTGCGAATCCGATCAATATCGTCACCTCATTAAATCT